AAGTTAACGTGTCTGTATGTACGCACAAACACGCACACACGCGCGCGCACGCACACGCCTTGCACATTCACACACGCGTCTGCGCTGGGTTGCATTACCATCAAACCCGCCCCGACCCAACCCCTTCATCCTCCAACCACCCAACCCAACCAAACCCACCCAGATCACCAAGCCACCCCAGCCCTCATTCATATATATAGACTGACAGAGCGCGCCGCTCGCTCGCTCGCTCGCACTCCTCCTCCTCCTCTCCTCGCCCTCGGTGGCTTGTGTACCAACATCATCCACCCCCCCACACCCCCCGAACACCACCGCCGTCGTTTTCCGCACGCATCTAAGGGGAGAGGAGGCTCCGGGCTGCGTGGTCCCATGCGCTCCATCGCGAACGGGCTGTGCGGCATGCTGCGTCCTCACGAGGAGCAGTTGGTCCTCTTTCAGTACCGGTTGGTAGTTTCACTTCCCCCACGGCGTTACCTCACCCCCTCCCCCCACTCCGTTGCCTGTAACTTGACTCTGCGTACGCAGCTGTGCCGTGGGTACGCGTGTTGATATTGGGGGGGGCGGGGAGCGGTGGCGCCGATGGTTAGCGCGCAGGCTCAGCAAGTGAAGGTCTTTCGCGATCCGTTTAGATTATTTTTTTTTGGCGCGTGTTTACGACTGGAGAGCACGGGCCCACGCTCACGCTTGATGCGTGTATAAACTCCCTTGCGTGGATGGGTGTCGCGCGCGCGCGCGTGTTCATATTGGCGAGGAGCGGTGGCGCAGTGGTTAGCGCAACGGTGGAGCAGTGCAGATCCTGTTCCGGTTAGCCGGCTGGTAGTTTTACTACTGAGGGCGAATACTAACTCTCTAAGTGCTGTGCGTGCGTGCGTGTGTTCGTATTGGTGTAGAGCGTCTGGATCGCAGTAGTGGTTTAGTGCACTGCGCTACGGACCCGGCTGACTTGGGTTAGATTCTCGGTCATGGCTCTCTAACATCGACGGCGAATATATATGAACCGTCGGTGTGTTGTTTTGGCGCGCGAGTGTCTTTGTCTGCGTGCGTGTCTGTGTGTGAATACCCGTGCGTGTGTTTAAGTGTGTGGTTCTGGGGAGCGGTAGTGTCGCGGTGAGCGCTGCGCTGCGCTACGAACCCGGCGACCCGAGTTCGAGTCCCGCTCACGGCCACCAACACCGGTGACGATTATCTGAACCGGTCCTGAGCCTCCCCTAGGTCGACTCAGCCTCAAATGAGTACCTGGTTGCGGTGTGTAGTAAACATCGCTACTGGGGAGACAAAGGCGACCGGGCGTGGTGTTGGCCACCCACCCCCTCGTAAGCCGTGCCCGGCCTTCATAGGTGCTCGCTAACAGCACTTGCCCCAACAGTCTGTTCAGGCTATACGGGGGATCTTTGTCTTTGTGTGTGCTTGTCAGTTGGAGGGCGGTGGCATCATGGTCAGAGCCGGCTAACATGAGTGGCGAGTGCACTCGTTGCTGGGACTTTTCTAGATCGACTCGGCTTTAAATGAGTAACCTTGGTGTGGTGTGTAGTAAACATCACCACCGGGGATACAAAGGCGGTCGGGCGTAGTTTTGGCCATTTCATCCCCTCGTGTTCCGTGCAGACCTTAATGGGTCATCCATAAACATCACCTTGCGCATACAGTCCGTGCAGGCTACACGGGAGATGTTTGCTTTGTTCGCCGGTGCGCATTAGTGGCAAGTGTTGCTAAAGTGTGACCTGATCTGAACCTGCCTTGACATCGGTATAGACTGGGGCGCCTGTTGGCAGCGTGGACGTTAAGTGCTGGGGAGACAAAGGCGGACGGGCGTGAATTGTTAACGCCACTTCCCCTGTGTGCGCCTGTCAGCATTGATGGGTGCTTATCATCATCATCATAAGCATCGCTGTTTGTTATCATCATCGCCGTGCGCTCGTCTGTTTGGTCGAGTCGAGCGACCAGCGGTAGTCGCTGTGAACAGCAGCGGCGTGGAGGGCCCTGAATCCCGTGGGCACTCGCCCACAGCGTGTGGCCGCAATTCAGGGCACGCCACGCGTGGCGAGGCTGCGGTATCAATGATGGCATCCTTAGGGGTGGGGGCGCTTTATTGGATTTTTTTTTCTCTCCGTGGATTTTGCTCCGGGGTCCACCGGGTTTTCCCGCCGTATTTAGACTCAGCTTGCGTTTAGAGTATTTGGTTGCTGTACATTTCCACATGATAAGCCACTTCTTTGAGCTATAATTTGTGGCCAGGTTGCTTCTGAGTGGGCCTTAGCTGGTAAAATAAAAAAAAATAGTTATTGGTTATTTTTTAATTTAATTTAAAGCAACAACCATACACATTGCACACCCTTGCCTTGGCATGTGCTCCTCCACTCCCACCCCCCTCCCCTTAATGTGAAGTAATTGTCTCCATTTGTTTCTTCTCATAACTTCTGAGCCCATTTAGAATTGTATGTAAGATTGGTTACAAGTACATTGAGTCCTAAATTGTGAAGTCTGAATGCATTGTTGATTCACTGTGGCAGATGCACGCCAATGACATTGAGCTCAGTGGGGCCTAACCTGGTAAAATCAATATAGTTGCGTTTAGACCTGTGGTTGTCACCCTTTTTTGGCTACTCTACCACCCCTGGTTGAATTTAGTTTTCGCCCCCTTGCCTGACCCAACATGATTCTGAGAAATAAATGTATGCATCATGAACATCAATATTTTAACAAATTTGTGAGGTATCCTCACTAGCTCGTAACTGAAAGCGAATAAACAAATTCAACGGACGCTTTGCATGCACGAACGCAATTTGTTCACGCTCACTGGTCGCTCTTGTAAACCCACATTGTTACGATAAATTAGTTTATAAAGGTGTTTTATATCGTCCTAGGTTACCATATGGAGTTACATTTTATCACAGTCATTTTATATTGGTAGATTCATACGTGATTATTCACCAATGATTCTCACCTATATGATATATATTTTATAAATCACCTCACATTGCCACGGGTACCCCCAAGGGGTCAGCATACCCTCCCCCCCCACCCCCAGTTTGAGATCCACTGCTTCAGACAGTATGCGACTTGATCTGTCGCTGAGCACTCCCAACGCAGGGTGGGTTGTGGTCACGTTGGCCCCAGCTGTGGAGGTTGGCCTGGCCGGTAAGCGGACCTGTTGTGTTCAGAGGTGCCAGCTAAACAACACTCGGCGCCTTTATACTACAGGGTGTTTGAAAAGATGGACCCGATTTGAAATCGCTAAATCTCTGAAATTGGGTCCATCTTTTTCAAACACCCTGTATATATCCTAAGGCGAAACGGGAAATCTTTGTGAAGATGATGTGGTGTGGCTGTAGGCACAGTTCGTGTTTTGCATGCACGGTATTGTAATGCAAAACATGTTATCTGGAACAACAAAAACATTGACAATGCGATAGAGGAAGCGAGCTCAAAGGAAACGCGAATTTATGCGAATATTAGTCTCAGAGCTGTCCGGCACTTCAATGTGTGGACAACTGAAGGTTTCTCATCAATCTGCTTTGTAAAAGCAGAACATGGTCATTGATTAGATGCATCATTGTGTTCACAAAGAGCAGGTCGTTTGCCTTTTCATGCAAGGTATAAAACATTCAAGTGGCATATTGATCATTGCCTTGGCATCGATTGAGATTGTTTTTCGTATCATCTCATCGTCATCATCATCATCGTCGTCGTGTGGAATGTAATTTAAAAGCATCTTTTTTTTGTTGTCAAATTTTGGCAAAAGTGTTGACAACAGACATGTCATGCATTTCACACTCTATAATGAGCATGGCTTTTGATACGTGCGATTAGTATTTTTTTTACTTTCTTGTATGAAAGTACTTACATTGTCGGTCTTTATTCTTTGACGGTTTTTCTATTAACATGTTAAAGCCTGCCGTTCGCCAGTTAGTCTTGTGGTCTGTGTGCCACTGAACCAGTTATATAATTATTAGAATTATTACGAGCAATTACCAGCCCTTTTCCAGTCCACTACTGAAGGCCATCCAATGCCGTACCAGTCAAGGGATTTGTTCAAACCATAGTTACTCACGCTGGTCAGTGCTGGTTGTAGGCGGAACTGCCGTGTACCCAGGACCAATTCAGATTTTCCTCTCACGCTGATGTTAACCGTGTGACCGGGAATCAAACTCGGGATTCGGTAGAGTCTGTATAGGAGTGCATTAACCACTGTGCCACTGTTGCTCCATCCTCTGTGGAAGCCCATTTACACAATTAAATGCTCAATTGACATCGCTACCTAGTATGTAGAAATGTATCTGGGGAATTCATAAAGTGCACAAAATTTGATGATGGAAACCCCGGGGGAATTTCTTTACAGCTGTATGTCGTTGTTGTAACCCTCATTGGCAAAGTGTGTTCCTGCTCCAGTCCTTTCACATTCCCACAATGGAGCACAACTCTCACAAAGAAAAACCAACCGTTAACTTCCCACCAAAGGGTTACTCGTTTTAATGAGCCACAGAGGAGGGACTACGCTCAGTTGATCCCTGACACAAGATTTGACCTCAAAAGCTTTCCCATTGTAATTTGGGCACATTGCCACCACCACCCATACGTGTCCATGTACGTAAATGCTTATTTGTTACCAATTCACTGCTGGATGAGGGCCTCTCAAACCAGTGTTGGCCGTGGCGGTTATTTCGGGATTCCTTCACGCAAAGTTAATGCGGGTTGGTTACGGTTGGGACTTCTATTTTGCTGCCCTGTCCTCTATTTCCCATTGTGCCTATTATGCTTGACTGCTGCGCAGAGTGATGACGCTTGTCCAAGTACTGCCCAAGCTAAAATTCTGCTTAGCTTACGAGATCTGACAAAATCGGGTGCGTTCCCGGTTGATTTGATCACAGGTTTTCCCTCAATCTCCTTCGCAAACGCGATGACTCCCAAACTGATGTTTTGCACAAATAGTTCAATTTCGAGCGTTCGTTCTTTCTGTTGCCACCGCTGCTGCCCTTTCGCACCGCTTGTCTCGAGCGCAGCCCCACAGATGAGACCATGTACAGCCCGGCCATGATCGCACTGGAGAGGATCCCGGACAAGTCGACATCGATGATGCCCATGGTGGCGGACGAGAGCCACAACGGGCGGCCGAGCCACTGGGCCGACGCGGCCACGACGCGGCCGAGGACCCGCGAGCGGCACATCGCCGTGCACCGCCGCCTCGTCATGGTGTTCGCCATCTCGCTCGTCGCGCTCATCGTGGTCACCATTCTGGCCGTGCTGCTCAGCGTCAACCTCGAGGCCTGTCCCTCGCCTTCGTCGCCGCCGGACGAGGCCCAGCAGCCGGCGACCGCCCGGCAGCGGCAGCAGCGGGCGGAGGCGGTCCCCTCTCCGACGACGGCTACGCCGGCCGCGGAAAACCAGCCCTGGGAGAGCGCGCGGCTCCCCGGCACGCTGGCTCCTCGGCACTACGACCTGCGCCTCTCCACGTTCATGGACAACTTCACCTACGCGGGTCAGGTGGGCGTCGTGCTCGAGTGCCTGCGGAGCACCCCGTACGTCATCCTGCACTGCGACAGGCTCAACATCAGCAGGATCGCGCTGAGCCCCGTGAACGTGAGCCGGCACAGCAGCACCAAGATCCAGGACTACTTCCTCTACCCCAAGCACCAGTTCTTCGTTATTCTGCTCAACAAGAGCTTCAGTGCGGGGGACGTGGTCTTCCTCAACATCACCTTCCAAGGGATCATAGCCGACGAATTGCTGGGCTTTTTCAGGAGTTCGTACTCGACGCAAGGGACACGGAGGTGAGACTTGAGCTAACTTTAACCGCTGAGAGTTCGGGGTGTTTTCGTTTTGTCCACTTGTTGTGTCGTTTCGACGTGTGTCGTGCGTTGTCGTCGTCATCGTCTTAATGCACGTACTTTAGCGAATCAGACCTGGTGTACATCAAGAATATAGGGTGGGCCACTTACGTATATCCCGCTGATTTCTAATAAGATTCTTACTTTCGTTTCAACAACTGTTTGAACGGCGTTAAAATATTTAATAGGTGTACTGTATTTACATTGATGGGTTGTGTAGGATGCTTGATTAATTTGTTTTGTATATATATAAAAAAAAATATTGTTGTACGTTTGTGGGGCATATGTAAATGGATCACCCAGTATTGTGTGCGTCGATTAGGCATGGTGACACACACACAGACACGCGTGGACTCTTCCCTTGCGCTTCTCCACTGCACGTGCTCTCTCAGGCGAAAGGACGACAATTGTGAAAGCCCGATGCCTGTGGGCCATGGGTTACGTTACACGGCTGGTGCCGAATGTTCGTAATCTATGGAAGTGCGGGTTTTCCGTGGCTGTGGATCGCTGGCAGACGTGGCACTTCGTGGGATCAGCACATGTACGAACCCACGCAACAGGGTCTCAACATCATTATCATCGGCCACGATCATTCCACTGTCTTGGATGGTCCCGGATGCAGCAATCCATCTTCTTCCTTCACAAAATCCGAATTCCTCGCTCCGCCTCCATGGTGGTCATGCTGTTGAGCGTGCTATCCCCGCTGTGGCTGCCACTCTTCTCGCGTCATCATTTTGATCCTGGTTCGTGCGCACGTTGGAACGTCTGTCGCACCATGAGTAGCCAACCGTGCCGTTCGTACGTAGCCAACCGTGCTCACGACTGGCATAGCTACGCACACACGCACGTTGTTTCCCGTTGTCTCCCTGCAACTGTTGTCTTCACCCTTTCAGTGAACTTGTAAAAACATGACTTTTCTTTTTCTTGAATGTTTCTTCAGTGAAACTTCACGGGCCTTCATTCGGTTCTTCAGTCGTCTCATCTTGTCAGTTTACATTCGTTTTCACAATGACCCGTCAACACCAAGTCCCTATGCCGTAATTTCTCGAGTCCAATTTTCCGAAACAGAGCTCCTAATCTGAATCTCTTTTGTCTGAATCCCCTTTCTCGTGTCTTTTTTTCATGAGAACAAAAAAAGTTCGTGCAGTCTCAGTGTGGCCATACTGTCCAGTTGATTATATTCATTATATTCGATTTTGTTAGACCTTGGAGCATCATTTTTCATGGAGTCATAGAAAAGTGGTGTCTGATATATTCAGTAGACTTTTCCAGAATCTGATTTATTGTATGTGGTTAATGGTAGAGACATCTTTACTCAACCCCGCTTGCTTATTTGGATGGTTGGCCTCTAAATGTTCCTGGATTCTTTTCCCAGTGATCTTTGCAATTAATATGTACACGGTCGACAAGAGAGTAAAACAAATGTGACATTTTTCTCGTCCATTTTTATCACCGTTTTTGAACGGATGAATGATTGGTGCAACATTTCATCGTTGAGATATTTCATTTCCGCGTAGAAAGTTCCTCGATATCCCAAATAATTTTGTTCCAACAACTGCTCACATTTCTCTGAAATTTACCGTTAGGCAACTCCACCTGGGCGAGAAGATTGCTTTTTTTCATGCTGTGATGGGCAGTATTTACTTCTTCAAGCATGACGTCTGGTTCTTTCTCCTCTGCACCTCAAACGTAGGTTGATTCCTTTTTTCCACAAAGAAGGAATTTAGAAAATGGACATGGAGGAGCCCAAATAGAGAAACTCAAATGAAGATTGACTCGATTCTAATTGACAAAAATCGAGGTTGTCAGAGGCGTATGTCCTCAACAGGTTCAACACAGGGAGCGATGGCCAGCTGGTGCAATGCAATTGCACATGAACCCACGACAAAAGATGGTTGCAAAGCTATAATCACAGGCTAAAGCCACGTTGTTTAATATCGGCAGGTAGCTGATTTTAGATTCAAATACCTCAAATGACAAAATGGTGAAAAGAGTGCCACAACTTCGTATCGTGCTGCGATGGGTACGGTACGGCAATGCACCGGTGGTTCACGTCTGGGGGATGCGTTGACGTCGAAACGACGTCAATCAAAACGATTTATAGGGCAGGTGGAGGCGACAGATACGAGAAAGGACGGATGCTGCTGTTGGCGACGTGTGGGTTGAGGTGACACAAATCAGGTGGTGGTATTTATCAGGAAAGTGACGACGTGTTTGTAAACGACGTGAAAGGGGGAGAGATGTAAATTGGGGTATTACTGTGTACAGGTTGAGGCAACGTGCGGTGCGAAATAAGTTGAATATAAATACATCCAATATGCACACATTCAATATACATGCATTAAATTATGAGAAAAACAACGTGAAATTCAAGAACATATCTGAAAAGCTGATTGAAGATTTCATTGGAAGTAATGTGCGGGGAGCATGAACGCAGCAAATTGGAGGTTGATGATCGATTATTCACAACTGGCAACCCCCAAAGGGAGGTAGAACCATCACACACGATGGAGATGAAATCTTTAAAATAATGGAGGGATTTTACGCGGATCTTTTAAAAAATATATATATTTGCAAACAAATACCGCGATGCAACATAAGGTAGGAAAAGCAAGCGCGGCAGCTGGTGGTAACGAAGTGTTTTGTCATATTGACGTAATTCTGAAAAATGTTATTGACGTCTCCAGCAGAAAGAACGGGACAAGTGGAGAGAGAGAGAGATAAATTTGGCAATAAGGTTGCAAGAATATGGCATGCTTGTGGTGAAGGAGTCCACACGAGGCATCTTCGGGTAAGGGCTGTATTGCCTGTAATATGACAAAAACAAAGATTCCCTGTAGAGTCTTAACAGCCATTTTGGGCAAGGGCTGTTAGCGAGCGCCAAATTAAAGCCGGCGTGGCGCACAAAGGGGTTGGTTTGCCAGCACCACGCCCGGCCACCTTTGTCTCCCTCACGCTGATGCTTGCACATCGGATCAGGTACTCTTTTGAGTCAAGCTAGGGGAGCCCTGGTACCGGTTCAGATAATCGTCACTGGTTTTGGCCGTGAGCGGCAATCGAACTCGGGTTGGCAGTTCCGAAGGGCAGCGCACTAACCGCTGCACCACCGCTCCCCTATCCCTCACATACCAACACGCACACTCGCAGGAAGCCGTCTCTCCCTCCCTCTCTCTCTTTCTCTCTCCAAGAGCCCCGAGCTCACGTCACGCCGTCTTGTTCTATCCTTCTCCCCCCGAACCTTCTCAAACCCTTTCCAGAAGGTTCTTCTCAATCCTCTCCTTCTCCCTCCTTTACACCAATCCTGTCCCTCGGTTTCTTTCTCAGCCTCTGCTCGTTCTTTCTCCCGCGTGTCCCCTCTGATTCCACAGCCAATCCCACGCTCTCTCTCTCCCCTGGCCGTGCCTCAGAAGTCATTTATTAATTATTTACTTAAGGCGTTCTTAGGGGCCGTCCATAAATGACGTCACGCGATTTTGGACGATTTTTGACCACCCCCCCCCCCTTCGTCACACGACGTCACAAAAAGTCAGACCCCCCCCCCTCAAATATGACGTCACAAAGCTTTGCCCCTCCCCCCCCCAAAAAAAACATGCTTCAAATCGCTTTAAACTATTGTCAATGTAGTGCGTATTTAATGTGGCGCTGCACTCTGATGTTGTAGGAAAAAAACATTTATTAAAAAAGTATATTTAATTAAGTAGAACGTGTTGTATATATTTATTTAAAGTTGCGCATTTTTGTGACGTCACGTTTCTCAAATCCCCCTCCCCCCATCGTCACACATCGTCACAAATGTTTGACCCCGCCCGGTGTGTGACGTCATTTATGGACGGCCCCTAATGTGACCCCTACATTACTTTAAGGCGTCCTTACACGACCCTTACACTTGTAAGCGCCCTGTGGTTACAAGTAACCCCACCACTACATCATCTTTCAGCTGCCACATCAGTTCTGATTGAGTGGAATATGGGCAATAACAGAGACTGCGGTTTAAGCTATATTACAACTTATCCTCGTGTAACCCCGAGGCGTATATATTGTGTACGTCGGCGTACTAAGGCGTAGCGCAAACGTATCCAAACAACATTGTAAACTCTTTGTTTCATTTACACCGAGAGACAGAAAGACGAACGCATGGATTGGAGAATATGCGTCAGTTGAAGATGCCATATTGACGAGAAATGGCAAGTGGGCTTGGGTAGGGCAAATCATTGGGTGATGCTGCGTTGGCAGCGGTGCACAAGCAATGAATATGGCTCGTTGCCCGAAACGTCACCCGTTATACATGTCTTATTTTCAAGCCACACCGTGTTATTGACGAGGGTGAGTGTTTGGGGGAGGACACATTGCTGAGAAGAGATAATGGGCCCATGGTCAAGAGCAGTTTGGAGTGGCTTTGTAAAATTTGAGCTACGCCAATGTGCCTTAAAAAGAAGGGTTTTAATCAGTGTATATATATAAAAACACGCAATGACACGGATCAGAAATATCGACGAAGAATATTGTAACAAAAATCTGCAAACTGTGCAAATAAGCAATGGTGCAGAAATGTGCACGCTTGAGATTACACTGATGGCAGCGCCTACATCAATAACAGGTGGGTGGTCATGGGCAGGACAGTTGGTAGACTGGATGATGGACCATTGATCGAGACTAATGGCAGAGTGAAGCTAAATGGCGGGGAGAACATGCCTGAAAGGATCTTCGTCGAGAGGAGATGGAGCGACGGATTGTTGCATTGTAAGACTGAGAGAATGGCGACAGTTTGCGGTCGGCCTCCACCTCGCAGTGATTCGTTGGCCATGGCTGATGATGGTAAAATAAATTCTACATTTAGGGACCTTTGCTTTCTTGCATCTGCAATTCATCCATTGCATGCAAGCGCGTTTCTCATCCTGCTTGGTGAAAAACTAAACTGTAAAATCCCAGCAACAAGCTGAAATCCCAGCTTACGTGCGTGACTTCCTTTATCGTATTCCGTGGAACAAACAGCGTTTCTGTTCAAATAACATAAATGCCACCAGAGAACACTAATGGAAATGCTGTTGTGAATTATGTAATGCAATACCAATCACACGTGTGCTGTAATCGTGGGCAAAATTGCTGTCTTGATGATTTTTTTTCATGAAATCTGCATGCGTAGGCTGGCTCAGTGGAAGAGCGAGTGGCTCACAATTGGAAGGTTCAAATCCTGGTTGGGGGTTGACTCAGTCCATCATCCCTCCTGGGGTCGATAAAATTAATATTGCTTTGTGGAGAATCAACAGTGGTTGTCTTTGCACAAACTTGGCCCCATCATAGTCATGTGGAATTTCCACCACTGGCCCAGGGCTGTAACCAGTAGATGAGCACCACCTTCATGCTTATTTGAGCAAGAAATCACTTTAACCTTTGACCAGAAAATATGTTTTAATGTTTCTGCATAAGCAGCGACAACATACGTTTGCATGCACAGTTAAAGAGATTTGTGCACATGCTTTGAATGAGGATAATTTATCTTTTAATGCACCAGCGCTGAAATGCACACCTATAAAGGTGCCAGAATTTATTGTGTAAGTGGCATCACGAGCTACAGAAAAACAAGCCTCACACCTACTACACTTTCATGAGTAATCGCCTCCCTAGCGGATGCTTATAACAGTTTTGACATCAAGCTTGACCTTTGTAATATATATATCATACAGGCACAGACATGCAATATATGACATACAGCGATGCATTTGCATGTGTTAACAGACAAATCAAAAGCACCATGCACTTGATTCAAAATTCCACCGGATGATTTACTTCCATTCCAAAATATCTCCATTCCGTAGTGTTAACTTTCATGCAGTATTATGCTAGACGGCATAAGAAATTAGTATAAATTCACAATTACCCTGAACAACTTTGAATTTATAGTTCACAATCGACTGCCTGAAATGAATATGGCAGTGGCCCTTCTTTTTTTTCGTTTCTTCTTCCTCCTCTGCGCTTGTCAAATTTGACAAAAATTGGACTCGAGACAATTGACCGTGTCAGATCCTCGTGCCCTTTTGGCCACAATCCAAGCCTTTGGCTTGCCACGGAGCTTTAGATGCATTGTCACGAGGGTGCCATCATGGGCATCATCGGCGCCCGCCTCTGGGCACTCGGCTTCAGGCTTTGAGAGTCAAATGCATTTTGGTTGAAGGCTGCGCGAGGTTTCCGTATGATACATCAAGCGCTTACGCGCGTGTCCCTTGCTGCCGGGCTTCCGTGCCGCACTGAGGATTTGTTCCACTTTACACACGTCTCCAGTGGAGAGGTGACGAGGGGGGCATTATGGTGAAGCGGCATTTCCCCGCACCTCCGATTAGCGCGGTTGGCTACGTATGGTGCGAAGGAAGTTCGACATACATATGTACATAGGGTTTAACATACATTTAATTCATTGGGATGCTGCTGTGGTGTAGTGGATAGCACACCGAGCTTGCAATCCAGAGGTCGGAGGTTGTATCTTGAAACAATGGGGCACTTTTTTTAAATCGTCCCCGCGTGAATGAGTTGTTGTGGGGCTGCACTCTTTCACTTTAAACAATTCATTAAAAGTTGGGTAGTTTCACCAATAAGACAAGTGAAGTAAAACTATTTCCAAACCCATCCTAACAATACACTTGGGGTGTTAGTGTGAATCCCACGATTTGCAATTTAATATAATATCGCTTATATATGGAATAAATTAATGGTTCGACACATACGTCAAACTCGATGCACCATTGCCATCCCAGCGTCGATGAGAGATAAACATTTTCCAGCATTTCTCCCCTGGTAAAAAAAATCTGGTGGTATTATTTCTGTCTGAATCGCAGTCCTAATTGGTTGACATACTACGCTCACGTATAAAGCCACTTGAATCGTTATACTAATGATTCGTCACGTCTTCATAGTGTCTGAAATGTTCATCCAACATTCATGGAACTGCCCAGTTACGTCCTTTCATTATTGTCTAAAATTGATGCAATACTCTGATTCTTTTACATTGACAGATGAGAAGAGTCAACATTTATTTTTTGTATTACGTTGAATTAATGAGCACGTATCCCCGCCTAAGCCCTTTGTAAGTAAGATAAAGTACAGTTAAATAATTGCATGTTAAATAAATTACGTTCATCACTTTATTTTTACGTGTCTATGGATTTTTAGTGGCCATTTAACAAAGTGCAGCTTCTCTCTTGTCATTTCACACGGTGGAATGTGGATGCTTCATGAAATATAATGAGTTTGTGTATGATAGCCTGAGCATTGAAGGATGCCAGTAGGAAGCCTGTGATGCTCGTTGTTACCTGAATGATATGTGGCTCGACTGTTGTGAAGAGCTCAATAATAAAATAAGCCTCTCTCTTGAATATATTCTATTCCCTTGAATAGAATATATTTGTTGTTAGTGCATAAAATGTCAACATACTTAATTTTAGTTTTACAATAAAAAAGGCAGGACTTGAACATGTGTATATGGAATATATATATAAAATAATTGTGTCCATTACAACTGGGTTCTTGGCATCATGTCGAGATTAAGAAATTCTGTTTGGAATTCAGTGACTGGTGTAATGTCATCTCATGTCAGGCAAGAGCCTGTGACAGGTGGCATCGCAGAACCAATTTCGAAGTCACTTTTATCCACGTGTTGTGGCACACCCTGCGATGTCCATCAAAGAGTGTCCCCTGCATGGCAACAAGAGTCATTATTATTAATTCTTCGAGGTGGACTATGGATCATTTAGTGAACATTTTTATTTTCTGCAATGTTTCTTCTCTATGTGCAACCATTGGTGACTGGGATGAGACCGACTTATTTGATACGTGATAGGTTGGTTTATTCATTAGCAGCTGAAACCACGACGAACCCAAATCACGATAATTGGCCAAATTTGATCAAATCTCGGAGGCCAAGCAGGTTGGACCTGGATGGTACTTGGACGGGTGACCACCGGGGCTTACCAGGTGTTGCAGTCATTGTGCTGTGAGGTGGCTAGGAGATGGCAGTGTTTTGAGTATTGCCCCTCATATACCTGGGGCTTCAATAATCGTTTTAATGAGTGTTTTCAGGATCCTGGGACCTTCCTATGTAAATATTTGGCACGGCAATTACTAATAAAAACCACACCCTCTTAAGTGCGAGCTCAGTGCTGTGGCACGAGTGCAAGGCCCTCTGAGCCACCCATCCACTAAGAGATTTGCACCAACCTCGGCAAGAGGCATGCATCGTTAACCTATCAGCTATATTAAGAGGGCTTCTGCTGAGAGGTGGCTGAGTGGCCCAGAGTTCACGATACTGCGCTTCTTGGTACTGCTCCGATTCTGGATTATGATCAAGATCATGGGCCGAAATTGAGCCAATTTCTCAAGGCTAGTGAATTGATGGTCTAAGCCCAGTCACCAATGACTGTCCAAATAAAATGTATCCCTTTTCTTTGGTTCTTTCGGTAAAGTCACGTAGAATGAGAATAAAATAATAAATTGAATTTTGATTTAAAGCTTTCGTGACTGCAGTAATTCATATTCTTAGTTTTTTCGGTAAAGTCACGTTGAAGAGAAACAACAAAATAACAAAATATTTTTATTGTTTTATATATATTTTGTTATTTTGTTGTTTCTCTTCAACGTGACTTTACCGAAAAAACTAAGAATATAATAAATTGACTTTACCGAAAGAACCAAAGAAGATGAATCCTTGCAGTCACGAAAGCTTTAAATCGAAAAATGTATCCCATTTAAAGTAGGGGTTTGCACTTAATTTGGCAAAAATTCCAGCTATGAGAAAAATAAATAATGGTTTGGATGCCATGTGACAAATCTTTCTCTCCAGCAGTAACATTTCTGCCCACTACTGTTTGAACCAGAGGTTACTTGCAGAAATCTCGTGATAAGGGTGCCACTGCAATGCGAAATCTCTGAAATTTCTTGATGAGACACCATCGCACTGTCGTAGGGGATGGGGGGGGGGGATAGACGAAAACAAATCCCAAAAACAAGGGTGTTGCATGTATTTTAAACTTCTTTTGCACCGTATGTAGCCAAGTCATGTTAATTGCATACCTGTGAAGCCATATGGTTTACCCGTATTCTTGTACAGGGAAATTGAGTTTAATTTTTACAATGTTTCGGTTTTTCCCTTGCGATGGGACTTTGTAGGATGAACATTGATATTTATAAGGGCACGGGGTGACCAATAAGGTCTGAATTAGTCTGTAATGAGGTAGGCACTGATAAGGGTTTGACAGATATGTAATCGGAGCTGTTCCACCATGTATGCGTGGCGAGCCGTGGCCCACTGCCTGGGGCCCGCCGGAGCTAACACGGGTCCAGCGTGCGCCCAGGTACCTCGGCGTGACGCAGTTCTCCCCGACGCATGCCCGCAAGGCGTTCCCCTGCTTCGACGAGCCGCTCTACAAGGCCACATTCACGCTGAGCCTGCACCACGCGGAGGCGATGCTGGCGCTCTCCAACATGCCGCTCGCCAGCCAGGAGCGGGCGCCCGAGCCCGGCTGGGTGGTGGACCACTTCGAGCGCAGCCCGCCCATGTCCACCTACTTCTTCGCCTGGGCCCTCTGCGACTTCGAGTACAGAGAGGGCATCACCCGCAACGGCATCAAGGTGGGTGGGAGGCGCCGTGATATGCTGGTGAAGCGTTCGCTGCTCCATCGTCCGTTTTGCCTCGGATGCACCAGTGGGGCGGTGGCGCAGCTGTTAGCACGCCGCGTTGTGAACCCACGGTCTTACAATTGATTCCTGCCTACAGTTCGTATCGGTAATGTCTTCAGCTTCTTGCTTTGTCCTTTATCAGTACTCCACTCCGTAGTTAATTATGTTCATCTGTCATCCCAGTGCCAAGCCCTCGTTTATATGGCTGAGTAGGCCTGGGTTAGAGCCCAGGAACGGTTCACTTGATGCTGCTGTTATTAGTGAGTGTGAACTAAAAGTAGGTCTGCAATATTTCTGCAATGCACTACAAGCCATCACCACCACGCCACAACTGCCAACAACAACATCAGCCGCCATTCTCTACTTAGTGGCGGTGACATCACCACAGACCTTGTGCAAGCCTAGGTGCACAGACAAACACATACACAGTCCAGCATCAAAATCTCATAATCCTCGCCTCAATCAAGGCCGAGTGTCTCCCCTGTTCAAGGGAACATGATTTGACAAATCTGGCTGCCGCCTCATGAAGCTAGTTGTAATTACTGGCGAAATGTCGTACTCAGATTGTAAATGTTGTGGCTTGGTTCTTCAACACATCGGTGTGCTGTACTAGTAACGAATTGGCACGTTCTGTTTACGTGACAAAACCTTACTAATTGGCTGTGTCGGGTGGTGGCGGGTTTAATGACGCATTTATATTTACGCGATCAAACAGAAAAAGTAGCTGTATTATGGATGATATTGATCGCTAAAGCCTCCTTAGTGTTAAACGAACATGAGAGCAATGCTCATTCGTTTTTGGTGGTGAGTCAGTTGTGGGAATTCCAAAAAATTGTTGGCAGGCCTCACGTCATGCGTACTACTAACAATTTAGCCATCCCACAGTGTTACTGATTTTATGCACTGACTGACATTTAAACTCCCAGCCTCGCCGACCGCGAGACTACAGCTCAAACCAGAGCCGTCTGACCATTTAATGAACAAACGTGCATGCTGCACGAGTGGGAAGTCCATTGAGATTCAGAATCACATGCCAATGATGCTCACCACATCGAGTGTTTTCAGACGCGCTTCTGCGGCCTTCTGGAACGCTCTTCCTTCCGAGATTACGAAGCCACCGGAGCTACAGTGAGGAAAAAAGTATTTGATCTCCTGCTGATTTTGTACGTTTGCCCACTGACAAAGAAATGATCAGTCTATAATTTTAATGGTAGATTTATTTGAACAGTGAGAGACAGAATAACAACAAAATAATCCAGAAAAACTCATGTCAAAAATGTTATAAATTTATTTGCATTTTAAAGAGGGAAATAAGTATTTGACCCCTCTGCAAAACATGACTTAGTACTTGGTGGTAAAACGCTTGTTGGCAATCACAGAGGTCAGACGTTTCTTGTAGTTGGCCACCAGGTTTGCACACATCTCAGGAGGGATTTTGCCCCACTCCTCTTTGCAGATCTTCTCCAATTCATTAAGGTTTCGAGGCTGACGTTTGGCAACTCGAACCTTCAGCTCCCTCCAGATTTTCTATGGGATCAAGGTCTGGAGACTGGCTAGGCCACTCCAGGACCTTAATGTGCTTCTTCTTGAGCCACTCCTTTGTTGCCTTGGCCGTGTGTTTTGGGTCATTGTCATGCTGGAATACCCATCCACGACCCATTTTCAATGCCCTGGCTGAGGGAAGGAGGTTCTCACCCAAGATTTGACGGAACATGGCCCCGTCCATCATCCCTTTGATGCGGTGAAGTTGTCCTGTCCCCTTAGCAGAAAAACACCCCCAAAGCATAATGTTTCCACCTCCATGTTTGACGGTGGGGATGGTCTTATTGGGGTCATAGGCAGCATTCCTACTTCTCCAAACACGGCGAGTTGAGTTGATGCCAAAGAGCTCCATGTTGGTCTTATCTGACCACAACACTTTCACCCAGTTGTCCTCTGAATCATTCAGATGTTCATTGGCAAACTTCAGACGGGCATATATATGTGCTTTCTTGAGCAGGGGGACCTTGCGGGCGCTGCAGGATTTCAGTCCTTCACGGCGTAGTGTGTTACCAATTGTTTTCTTGGTGACTATGGTCCCAGCTGCCTTGAGATCATTGACAAGATCCTCCCGTGTAGTTCTGGGCTGATTCCTCACCGTTCTCATGATCATTGCAACTCCACGAGGTGAGATCTTGCATGGAGCCCCAGGCCGAAGGAGATTGACAGTTCTTTTGTGTTTCTTCCATTTTCAAATAATCGCACCAACTGTTGTCATCTTCTCACCAAGCTGCTTGGCAGTGGTCTTGTAGCCCATTCCAGCCTTGTGTAGGTCTACAATCTTGTCCCTGACATCCTTGGAGAGCTCTTTGGTCTTGGCCATGGTGGAGAGTTTGGAATCTGATTGATTGTTTGCTTCTGTGGAGTGTGCTCCTAATCTCAGCTCGTTACCTGTATAAAAGACAACTGGGAGCCAGAAATCTTTCTGTTTGAGAGGGGGTCAAATTCTTATTTCCCTCATTAAAACGCAAATCAATTTATAACATTTTTGACATGCGTTTTTCTGGATTTTTTTTATTGTTATTCTCTCTCACTGTTCAAATAAATCTACCATTAACATAGACTGATCATTTCTTTGTCAGTGGGCAAACGTACAAAATCAGCAGGGGATCAAATACTTTTTTTCCCTCACTGTATGCACGTGAAAATCTAGATTGAAAACTAATTTCTTTAGAACTGCTCTTTGTGTTTAGTTTTTGTCCTTCCCCTTAATCTCTGAAAAGCACGGTTGGCTACGTACGGTGCGAAATAAGTTAAACGTATATACATACAAGGCATTGTGTGATTATGAAATGAGACTCCCTTCAAGAATTGGACTATTTTAAATGGCAGGGTATATGAGCAGCCAAATTATGTGAATATCGGGTCAAAGGTTAAATTATTTTCATAATTGTGATCTCCTTCCCATACATCACATTCCATAAGCTTTCAAATGGCTCCTCATTTCTTGAAATTGGTTGAGGTCTCAAAGGAGTTCTCCAGACGTACATACAGACTAGCCGCTTACTACGTAGATTGTATTGTGGTGGTGCATACCTGTAAACCAGTATTGTCAGTGGATCACATGGGGATAGAGCCATCGTATGCATGAGACACTTTCATGGCAATGAACTGACTTTAAGATGCAGTCCAGCAAGTAGGCTTTTGACTGTCTAAATTTGTCGAGCAGAGTTTGACCATTCTCAATTTAAACATTTAATAAACATAGACACTCCGCTTGTCTACTCCCATGGACCTTATGAGATATGCTCCACATGCACTCATTCTCATGCCATTGTATGATGTGTAATCTATGCTATATAAAGCATATGCTGCTCTATCAAAAGTAGTTTAGTTTATTTGTCCACTCGTGAAGACTGAACGACTGAATGTGGAGGTTTAAAATACAGAATTCTCCACAATGCTTTCGATAAATGTGTAATCAACGAATGAAAAATGTAATCAATATTACATTACAGCCCATGAATTAACAATGCCCAATGTCTGTATTATAAATAGAATATTGTTAAGCATTTTAAGAGAGCCCCAGACCCGTGATTAATCACAGGCCTACTTTCCAATTTATTAAAACAAATCCTAAACCAGTCCACATGTTTTCGTGTTGTGTATAATTGTATTTTTTTCTGCCACCATGGCAGTTTTTCTTGGAAGCTTTTGACTATGGTGGCATCGGTGGGGGGGGGGGGGGGGGGATGCAATAATCATTTGAGCAGCCTACACGAATGTTTACAACGACGAAAAGTATCGTTGGGTGGGGGGGTCTCGTAAACCCTGCGGTAACAACAGCAATAATATTTCCCATAAAGCCGCCATTCCCATATACACACATGGCTCTCCCTCTACCCATTACTCTGCAGATGGTGGCTAGAGATCAGATTAGATGCTGGGGGGGGGGGGGGGGGGGGGGGGGTCATAGGCACACACAGCGCCGCAGTGTGATTCGCGTGTCATCTGTTTGTATAATTAGACCACAGTTGAAATGCGTTTTCTTTTTGAGCTTACGAAAGTTGTGCACAGACATCCGGACGAATGGAGCTGTTTGGGAGTCGCTCATTACACACGCCAGGTGGTGCAATGGCAAAGTGCCTGAGGCACAATTTATAGTCCGCGGGGGATCATGAGTTCATATCACAGATAAGGCTTAACCCTGTGCATGTTTTCCTTCCAGAGCTGATAAAATGAGTACTCGTTTTGGGTGATTATTAATACAGTTATACGCCAATGTACGTCTCTCCCCCTTTTACGTCATCTCGAAAATGCATCGTCACTTTATGATTAACACCACTGCGTTATTTGCGTCGCCTCAACCCCACACTTACGTCGCTGACGGCATCATGCGTCCTCTCTCGTTGTGCTGTCGCCTCTCAGCCTTCGCCTCCACCACCCACGACGACCCTGCCAGTCGCTTCGACTCACGTCGTTTCGATATTCGTCCTCGCACCTCTCAGGAACGCATCCCCCGACTTAAACTGGGGTATCGCTGCATTACGATGTGTGTCCAGGAGCGCCTCACCAAATCTCGCGTGTTTTTCAAGAGGGTCCTGACAAGTTTTTTGAATGAGGGGGGCCAATAGTTGCTGTGTATAATTAATTCGCGGGGAACATTTCACATTGGGCAAATCGGATTAGTCGATCGGCAATTTTAGTGTGGTCGGGTAGAGTATGTGTACCTGCACCCCTTCCAAGTCATCTGACCAGCGTGGAAGAGTAGGCCAGATGCCATCTCGAGGTGTTCTCGAGAGCAGTGCCTCTCAACATTTTTTTGGCTACTGTACCCACCCCTGGTTGAATTTTGTTTCAACCGAGTCGCCCCTTGACCTGACCCAACATGGTTCCGAGAAAATAAATGTATGAATAATGAACATCAATATTTAACCATTTGTCCGCTTTGTGAAGTATCCCAACTTAGCGAG